TTTTATTTTCTATTTTTTAAAATTTTATTATTTGACCATGACATCATTTCATTTATAGGTCAATTTTAGATTTGACATTCCATTTTCATCATTAATAAGAATACTTCTTATATTTCATATTTATTTTTGTTTATATAATGAATATACAATATTAGAGATATGCTTAATTCTTTTTGTTTTTTTTTTTTTATTTTTTTTTTATTTTAAGTTTTTATTATTAAAGTATGACATTGTTGATTAATCAATTTAATCCCAAATGGTTGAATTGCTTACCCACCATCAGGAGGAAAAGAAAAGGGTTTTGTTTTCAAATGATTTTCAAAATATTTATTTTTATAATAATAAAGTTAATATTGCGGATTTAATTAGTGAAATTTAATGATGAGAAATATATATTGAATATAGGATTTAATGAGAGAATATAACTTAGATATGAGATTTATAGGAAAATGGCTTTATTTTAGATTGGCTTTAAATTTTATATTCAAATTTCATCATTAATAAAAATAATTATTATTTTCCATATTGTTATTGTTTAATATGTAAAATATATGTTGTTAAAAGTGTTCCAAAATTTTCATTAATTTCTATTTTTTTGCATTTTATCTGTTTTTGAATTTTATATTATTTAAATGTGGCATAACACAATACACTATCTTTCAACTGGTGGATAATTGTGACAATATGAGCTAGGCCATTTTGATCCAAAATGGTTTAATTTCTTACCACCACCTAGATGAAAATACCATTTTTTTCCATGTATATTTTAAAAGCATAAGTTTTTATGTTATTGGAATTATTAATTTATTATATATGGATTTAATTAGTATAATTTAGTGATGAGAATAAATAAAGATGCTTTAAATTTATGATTCAATGAGGCCCAATGGGAGTTAGTACCTTAAATGTGTAATTTATGATAGAGAATTGAATGCATTGAATAATAACATTTAAATTACATTTTCTACCCTCACAATAGAGGGATCATATTTCAAAAAATATTAAAAATTGCAATTTGGGGCCAAAAGGGGATTTTTTTGGTAAAAATAGCAATACAAGATGCTTAAGGCACTTGGGGCATATAGATCTTGAAAAGTTACCTAAAATAAAAAATAATCATCCAAATTGGACATCGGAGTGCAAAGTTATGGCCTCCAAAAGTTTGCACGTAATTAAGTATGTAACCCATAACTCGGTGACTGGGTCGAAGGGGTCAACGGTTGAACTGCTTGGGTTAAATGGTTTTTGACCAAAAGGACAAGCATCAACAAAACTAGACCCCGAAATCAAGGCCGAGTGATGGTTCAATCAACCGGGTCAACGGCGGGTTGAAAACACTGATGTTAAATAAGAAATATTTTTATTAATGATGGAATGGAATGTAAAATTTCAAAATAATTGGAAATAAAACTATTTTCCTATTCTCTCTTATTAAATCTCATATCTAGGGTATATTCTCTTATTAAATCTTATATTTAAGATACATTTTTCTCATTATTAAATTCTACTAATTAAATCCATAATATTAATTTTAATAAGATGAGAATAAATATTTTTAAAAATATTTTGAAAACATAACCATTTTTTCCCTCCTAGTGGTAGGTAAGCAATTTAACCATTTGGGGTCAAATGGGTTAATAAATAATGTCATAATTAAATATAAAAATTAAAATAAGTAAAATATATAATACAAAAAATAAAAATAATTAAACATGTTTCTAATATTATATATTCATTATACTGAACAAAAATAAGTATGAAATGTAAGAAGTATTTTTATTAATTATGAAAATGGAATGCCAAATTAAAGTTAACCTTGAAATGAAATGATGTCATAGTAAAATAATAAAATTTAAAAAAAATAGAAAATGCAAAGAATACAAAATTGAAAAAGTAGAGAAAATTTTGGGCACATATCTAATGTTATATATTTATAAAAAATAAAATGTTGGGTACAACTATAATATTAGACATTCATTATATTGAACAAAAATAAATATTATGCATAAGAAATAATTTTATCAATGATGAAAATGTAATACAAAGTTTAATTTCACCATAGAAATCATACTATTTTTCTTTTTGGATTATGGGATAGTGGTTTGTGTCAAATGGATTAATTGGTAATATGATAGTGAAATAATAAATTTTTAAAAAGTAATAAAGAAGTACATGTAATCAAAAGAATATATAAAAATTGGGTTTGACTATGATATTGGAAAGATATGATATCTGAATTTTTTTACCAATCAACTGATATAAAAAATGTGGTAGCCAATTAGATGTTATTTATCAAAATTCATGGGTGGGTTTTGATTGGTCAAAACTCTTTCGGTACCATGCTTTCCCGCACCATAAATTTTTATATATTAATTTTGTCGAGCAAAAATTAAGTGTGATAAGTAAAAATTATTTATATAATGTAGATATAGTATATAACTTAAAACTGGCCCGAAAGCAAAGCTATTTTCTTATAGAACACAAAAAATGAAAATTATAGAATTTTGTCAAAAGCATTTAGAAACATTTCTAATGTGATATATTCATCATATTAAATAAAAATAATTGTTAAAAAAATATCTTTATTTATTTATGATGATGATGAGGATGATAATTGTTATTGTAATTTAAAATTTCCACTACAATGCATGTGCACATTTACTACAAGTATTTAAGTTTATTTTTAATCATATTATTACTTTTGTTAATTTTCAATTCCTATCTTAATTATTATATATATAAAATTCAAGTAATTAATATAAAAAAAATCTTACGTGCAATGCACATGCTTAACTACTAGTATTTTCAAATATTTCAATGGTGCAATGGAGCAAGGATTAGCAGAACACAACGACTGTTTAGTGGGTTGTGAAACCAATGGTAATGTTCCACATCAATAAAATACATATAACCCACACCTTTTATGGTAATGTTCCATGTCAATAAAATACATGTAACCCACACTTTTTATGGTGGGGCCCATGAATTTATTATTGGTATGGAATATTATCATTGGCTCCATAACTAGCTTAACAACCATCACGTTCATCTAATCCTAAGATTGGTGCAATGGTAATAGGTTGGGTTCAACACAAGTTCTTCTCAACCCAAATCTCAATTAAGGTTGAGCTGCCCCTAACCCAATAGAATCAATTCATTAGGGGCATACCATTAGGGTTGTTAGTGGGCCAGGTATAATTAATAGATCCTGACTGTACCAATTATGTCAATCTTGGTTATGAGGTTTTGTCATGATTAAGAATTGGGCCGGGATCTAATTTTTCTATTCTGAACTGATTTAGAAGTGAATGGATTTTATAGTGCCGCTTGATAAGTCTTGGTAAATATCCTATTCTACCATGATCTATAAAATTGCTAAATAAAAGCAAGACCACATGAAAATGCTAGATTTTTTTTTATAACTTTTGTTATAACGAAAGAATAAATTTCATAACTATATAAGTATGATTAAAAGCACATATTTTATACCTTAGTTTCAACTTATGTTATCAAATTAAAGTTCTAAATTATTATTAGAGTTAAATACTTAAAAAAGAGGATCCCACCAATCACAAGCAACAAACAACTCATCAGCCGAAACAAATAAGTGGGTTCCTGTGCAACCTTTTTTTTTGATAACCCGCTCAAGTTGCAGAAGGTTTTAGAAAATGGTTGATAGCACCAACTGCTTAAAGAACTCAGACCAAGCGCAATAATTTTCTAGAAAGGTAAAGGCCCTTCATAAAGGGGTTTGGGTTTATAACTCTAGAAAGGTACAGGACGGACATTCACAGAGTAATGCCTTAAAAAAGCCCATTAGAATTGGTTTATCTCAAGCATCAAGAATTGGTGGAATTTCAGAACCTGTGTCTCTGAAACAAGAATTAAGAGTTGGCTTATGCCTCTCCCAGAAAGCAGAGTTGGTTGCTATGAAGCGGTTATCAAAACCAACATCTGTGGTTTCAGAAGCTGAAACTGTTAAGACGTTGTATAACCCAAATAAAACTGGTACAAACATCTCAATATGAGATTGTTTCTAATCAACAGAGGTCAAGGGTGAAATATCAAAGGGAGAGCTACATCATAAGGGAAAGTTGAAATCTGTACCTCCAACATCTAGCTCTAATACCGGTAATAAAGTTTCAGAGATAGAGGGAATTGTTTCGTCTCCAAAGAGATTATTGGTAGAAAAAATTTTGCTTGGTGAAATGCTGGAGAAAAATGCAGTTACATGGACTTACTGGACATCTGGCTATACCCATCAACACTTTTGCTCGTCGCTCGATGATTTGTGCCGGATGTCTTCCAACGCAGTACATTTGATAGCGTACTCTGAGCTTGTCAGGATTCTAGGATGTCTTCCAACGCTAAGTTTTTAGGGGATAGTTTCGACCTTTTATTAGTTCTAAAACGTGTCTCTGTTAAGAGGCGAAATTAAAATTTAAGATATGAAAACAAAATTCAAATATATTTTCAGATGCATCGCCAAATACATCTGATTTTTTCACAAATTCGCCCTAAGTTTTTGTCCGTTTGTTAAACGGAATACTTTTAAGTATTTAACCTTATTATTATTGATAATTACATGTACCAAGTATTGCTGTAACAAATCTAATCGGGTTAGACCCGTTTATCCCGATTATCAATTGGTTTGGATAGGTCCTTCATAGTTCATATTGTCCCAATTAGTAATGGGAGCGGGGACTGTACACATCACTATTCTTTTTTTTTTCGAAAGATAGTACACATCACTAGTCAAGTTCGTGTAAACAGATTTCCGTCTCTTATCATGAATCTAAAGAGTGTATACACAGTGTACTACCATCACGTGGACAAATATACACCGTCAGGTTAGAACATAACCTCCTAGCTCTTTTAATCAAATCGAATCATATAATCCAACGACTTTAAATGTTCATCACATTCTAGTACGATGTCACTGCTTGTATGTCATACCACGTTATAGATATGTACCGAAAACCAACTCAACTCTACGTAAGTAAAAACTCTCTCTCTCTCTCTCTCTCCCTCCGTGGCTCTGGTCTCGTTTCCAGAAAAAGAAAGAACAGAGTGAGTAGTAGTAGTCTTGGAGAGTTTCGGTGTCTGTCTCGTGCCTTCTCTTCATTCTTCTACCCCTTTCTACACTCGCTCTCGTCGTTCTTTGACTCTCCTCATAGATAAATCTAGGGTTCTTCTTTACGTGTATTGCTTCGTTGGTCCTCGTTGGCGATCGAAATCCTGGTTCGGAATCTAGATCTGGATCTTATTTAGAACCAGTGTAAGTTAAGTTCTTTAATGTTTGCTTGATAGTTGATATAGGAGAGAGGATCTTTGTTGGTTCTATTTCGTTTCCTTTTCTGTTCTCAGCTTGGTTTTGTTGTTGGATTTGACTGCAATGTAAGGTTTTTTAATAGATCTGCTTAAGTTGCCTGTCCGCATTAAGAATTTGGTTGTTTTGATGCTCAATGACTTCTTTCGATGGTTTGGGTGGGTTGTTTCGTGAGAACTTGTGGTTGTTTTGCGTGGTTTTACTTTGGAGTTTGTTTGGGTCCAGTAGTTGCAAAAAAGCTTGATTGTTTTTTTTTCCTTTATTCTTTTGTGGTTTTGGCTTTGAAAATTTTGTGAATTTAGTGATTCGTGATTCGTTTTGCTGCAGTAGTGTTTTGTTTCGTTTATTCGTTCCAGATCTGCGAGTCCCTGCCTATTGAGTGATTCATAGAGTTATCGAGTTTGTTGATTTGTTAAGAACTTCTTTCGGATCGTTGGAAGAAACGTTGTACTTTTAACACAAGATAAACATTTGTTTTTCTTTCTTTATTTTTTATTTGATATTCTGCCGACACTGTTATCTGAAGCGCTCATTTTCATTTACATCTCTTTCACCGCTCGGCCATGGACTTTATTGCTTGCGGTTGTCGGTGGTTAACGTCAAACATCAATATCTTGTGTTTTTAACATACATTTGAGGTCGTTGATGTGTTACTGGGGCCAATTAAGAGTCAAATTTCTCGGGGGAACATACTGAGAAGAAAAATTCTTAGCGGAACATGGAGTGACCAAGGAGATAGAGGTCGTTTTTATGTATTGTCAATGTTTTCTTAAATTTTTAATGTTTTTTATCATACTTTCCGTTATGTGGTTTTGTTAACGCTTATTGGTGAAGTCAAATAGGTTTCCCTAAAAACTACTCACAGTTGTCAAGGTGAAGCTAGGCAACAGAGGAGTGGTTTGTGACTAAGCACCTATGTCCCCGCATAGGCGGTTTATTTATTTATTTTTAAATAAAAACTTAAATCGTAGGGTAATTCCCTAGGTTTAGTAGCAACTAGCAACAACTTTGCACTAATAATAATCAGTAGTCTCTATCAAATAACTATAAACTTCACATCAAAACATAGAAAATCAACACATTCATAGGAAGAAAAAGAAAGGAAAACTCAGGAATTTTAAGAAAAGAAGGAATGGGTGGAAGAAAAATTAAAGGAAGAACATAGAAAGTAAAAAACGAATAAGACATTACCTTGGTTCTTGATGTTGACCGGATAAAGTCTTGAAGTTCTTCCTTGCTCATCGTTTTAAGAGAATGCCTACCAACTTGTGTGCTGATTGAACCTTAAGAAGTAAGAAAATAATACAAAGAAAGTAGTATATGAGTATGAAAATATTATAAACACAGAGAATGAATAATTTAGTGTAATGATGTCTTTTATAAGTTATAACATTACAATTTCATACACTAAAAAAATGCAAAAATATAGGTGTTTGTACATGGTAACCCACCATCGGTGCTCTAGTATTTGCCTTGACAACTATGAAACCACTAAATTTATTGTAATTATGGACTTGAAACCTTCTTTTTTACCCCTAAACTGGTCACATTTAATCAAGTCTGAATGGGTTCCTGGGAATTCTTAGATTTGTTGATCAAGGTATTGCTGGCATCTCAAAAAATTATGGTGATTGCATATGGCTTTTGTGGCAATTATTCTGGCTGGTTCTTTATATTCTAATTTCAAATATATATATATATATATATATATATATATATATATATATATATATTGATGTGAGGATAACTTTCCCTCTTCCTGAGGACTTTTAAGGCCTTTAGGTGTTAAACCTCCCCAGTTATTGTGAAGATCAATGATTTGATTTTCTACAGCAGTATTTTAGCTTTAGTAGTCCATAAATCCCACTTGTGGGAGTCTTCCATCTGACTTGAATCTTGATTTCCATACACCTGTGTATTAGACTCTTTGTTGGCTATACACAGCTCTGTGGATCTTTCTGACAGTTTCTTACCTTAATTTTTGCAGGGTTTAAACCTTTTTTGCTTCACATCTAGATCATGCATATCTGAAGGGATTTCTATATTATGATCAGACTTTAATTGAAGAAACATTGCAGAATGAAGGCTTTGGCATGAATATTAAGGTTCTGTTTTTTTTTTTGTTTTCTATCTTTGTAATGCTCTGGTTGGACTAGAGTAAAAGCTCCACTAAAGGTTCTTGACACCGAAACAATGAGGGGAAGAGCTGACGAGGCCCAAAAGAAGCGACTGGTCGCTGGATTGTGTGTTGTTGCAACTTTTCTTATTTTCCTATTCGTTTATTATGGATCCTTTTTCGAGTCTCAAATTCATCATGGTGCATCAACTGTTGAATATGGAAGTAAATTGACATCTTATTTGGGTGGCAATGATGACTCCGATCTTGACAGCAAGCAAGATGGGGGGGAAGATATTGTACCAAAAAACTTTCCAGTGAGTTCTCTTACTCTCTTATTCTATATATTTTTTTTATTTTATAAGTAATGGTGAGTTCTCTTATTCTATTTTTTTTTTTTTTTAAATTTTATAAGTAACAGTGAGTTCTCTTATTCTTTCTCTTTTATTCTTCTTGATCGGTTTTTCTCTCTTTCTTCTAAGCTCTGCTGTCATTGCACCTGTTACTTTCCCCCAAGAAAATGACAACTTATATCAACTTGCCTTTTGTAATTTGGTTTGTGCCATATTAATGAGATCCTTCTATATTTTCTTCTTTGCATTTGAAGGTTTGTGATGATAGGCATTCAGAGCTTATTCCCTGCCTAGACAGGAATCTTATATACCAGATGAGGTTGAAACTGGATTTGTCTTTGATGGAGCACTACGAGAGGCATTGCCCTCCAACTGAAAGGCGTTATAATTGCTTGATTCCTCCACCATCAGGCTACAAGGTTGATTTTGGTTACATTATATATAAGGAGTGAAGCTAGAATTTGGTTCTCTTATTTTGAGATTTTTCTATATTGTCAAATCGGCCAATACATTTTAATATTATATTACAGATCCCGATTAAGTGGCCAAGGAGCAGAGACGAAGTATGGAAGGCAAACATACCTCATACCCACCTTGCACATGAGAAGTCTGACCAGAATTGGATGGTTGTCAAAGGTGATAAAATTTCATTTCCAGGGGGTGGCACCCATTTTCATTATGGAGCTGACAAATATATTGCCTCTATTGCTAATGTAAGTCTCTTCTTTAATAAGCTTTGTTTTTTAGTCAAACCTCACATGTCTGTGGAACTCAGCTCATCAAGTAAACAAACTTTCTCATTGCCTAATGTAAGTCTGTCTCTTTGTAGTTTGTACTATGAGAGAAAAAGGATATAGAACTGACAAGTTCTTCCTTTTCTCAGTTACATGACCGTGCCAATGTTTAAAAGGCAATTAATTGCGTGAATAAAGGCTTTGAAACCTCCAGAAGCAAGAGTTATAAGCCATGAAACTTCAGTTTAATTCTTGCACCATCTAATTTTTTTAATAAAAAAATATCAAGGTTGCATAAAAAAATAATAAAAATTGTATACATGCAGACATAAGATTATTCATATAACTTGGTGACATACATAAAATCATGTTAACATATTAATTATATGTGCATATCAAAAGAATATAATATCCATGTATACCTTTAGAAAAAATGTAACTCAACACATAATTTATGCATGTAAAATAAGTAAACATAACCATGTAAATGATCTAACCATTGCATATAAATGAATGATGTGAGTCCAACTATGATACTGGCAAGGGCATGATACCTAATAACCTTATAACCAATAAACTTGTATCATAAAAGTGGTAAACAATCAGCTGGTATTCATCAAAATATTTTGATTGGTCAAAGTTCTTCCAGTATCATATGGAAGGAGACATGGGGAAGAGAGGGGTGTTAGTTTTTGAAACCGAACTGGGGTTACTGGTTTTCGAAACCTAACCGAAGCTGATCGGTTAACTGTCGGTTCGGTTCATTGATTTTTTGGTTTTTTATTATTTACAATATTTATTTTAGAAAAATATATAAATATATAATAAAATACTAGAAATATATATAATATTATATTTTAAATAATAAATAATGTATTATATATTATAAATATATATATTTATATATAATGCATATTTATTAATTTATAATGTATAGAAAATATAAAATATATAATATATAAATATACATAAAATATATAGAAATATATGTATACCGGTCGGTCCGGTTAACCGCTAGTTTTCTATCTTGGTTAACTGAAATAGGGATGGCAATTTTCCCCATTTCCCCGATCCCCGTGGGGATCCACCCCATTCGGGGTGGGGATGGGGAAATTTTCGTCCCCATTAGCAGGGACAGGGAGATCACTCCCCGCCCTACGGGGACCCCAATCCCCGCCCCATGGGATCCCCAATAATATATATGTATATATGTATATATATACACATACATCTATATATTAATATTTTTAAAAATATGGTTGAATATGTTTGAATCTTTTCTAATAGGATTGTAAATTTTAATTATTTTATTTTTATTTTTTTAAATAAAATAAAAAACAAAAACACAATGGTTAACATTATAAAAAATTACAGGGAATGGGGATCCTTGTGGGGATGAGGATGGGGATAACCTTGTCCCTATTAGCGGGGACGGGGATGAAGAGAGGCTCCCCATCCCCGCCCCACCCCGTTGCCATTCCTAAACTGAAACTGAACCGGTACCTTCGGTTTTTTTAAAATATTGAATTGAAACCGAATCAACCGGTTTGGTTAACCGAATTTTTGGTTTATTTTGCTCACCCCTAGCTGCTGCAATGGACTCCAAATCAACTTGGGAAAGGGGTGTCGAAGAGTCTCCTGTAATTGTCACATTTGCATTTCCCTTCTTGTTCTTTATTCGAGCTGGTATGAGATGAGGGTAAAGCTTCCAACAAGTGTCTCCAGTATGCTTAGTCTTCTTCCAATAGTCACACACCAAGTTCTTCTTGTCCTCCCTCCCAGCCTCACTACTCCCCCTGTCTGCATTTGGCTTAGATTTGACTATACTAATCATAGCTAACTGATCAATCCCAGGCTGTCTCAACATGACATTCCTCCTCTCCTCTCCAAAGACAAATGCATAAGCTTGAGAAAGAGACACTTTCTTTAGAAAGGAGGTGTTGCCTGGCAATGTCGAATTCAAGGTTCAACCCAACTAAGAACTCAAAAACCCTATTCTTTTCCACCAACCCCTGATAGGTTGCTGCATCCTTCATATTCTCCCAAACCACAATATCTAAGTGGTCTATCTCCTACCAAAGAGTTTTCAACGTAGAGAAATACATGGCAAGAGGTCTATATCCTTGTTTTGTATTAATCACCTGATTCCCTAACTGATAGACTCTAGCTACATTTTATTTCTTTTTTTTTTGATAATTGAAATGATTTTATAAATCAGCAATAAAATAGTACAAAGTCCTCATGGAAAGGTATGAGTTGCAACCTCTCCAGGCTAGTTAAGTACAAATTTTTGAATTAATAATAACTTACATAGAAGCACGAAAAAGATCTTCCCTATATACCCCTTGTTTGGCTAGAGCATCAGCCAAAGAATTAGCTGACCTACTAATCCATTTTACCTCCACTCTCATATTGCTGGTTAACCACTTTACTTTTTTGATGAGATCTTTGTAGCCCCAAATGGTGCTATCCAAGTTTAGGAGCCACCTGGTTACCACCTGAGAGTCCCTTTCAACTAGGAGATGCTCCACCCCAAGCCGGTTGGCGATCTGAATTCCTTGTACTGCAGCAAGTATTTCTGCCCTTGTGGAATCCCCCACTCCCACTGGTCCTGAGAATAGGGAAATTATGTTGCTGTCCTTATTTCTCAGGATACCCCCTATACCTGAAGGCCCGGGATTGCCATGGCTGCTTCCATCAAAGTTCAGCTTAATGACACTTTCCAAAGGCGGAACCCATTTTGACAGAATTCTATCCTTCTTTGTTGAAGTGTTGGCTATTACTAGCCAATTTGTCCACAAATCATCACGGGAGAAGTCATCAAAGATATCCACAGTTTTCAGCCAATGGATTGCTCTTGTTAGGATACAATCCTTCATTTCATCTAACCCTCTTTCCTTCTCTAAAGAAATTCTTGCATTCCTTTCATCTAACCCTCTAGCTACATTTTATTTCTGGGAATAAGTTTTAGTCACTCCATCCCAAATCTCTTTTGTAGTATTAGCCCACAAGAAATTTTTACCAATGTGAGGTAACATAGAGTTACACAACCAAGTCATCACCATGTAATTCTCCTGTACCCACCAGGAGGGATCTGTATCAGGTTTCTTCTCTTCCCTAGTGATGTAGCCTAGTTTCCCATGAGCACCAATGGCCATCTTGGCTGATTGTGCCCATTCTAGATAATTTGTACAATCAAATTTCATTGTAGTAATAATTCCAGACCCAAAAATATCACTAGTACCACCAACACCCAGACCCATGTTACCGATGGACTTTTGCTCAGTACTCCAACTCTCTATTTTAACTTCAAACAATTCAAAACTAGGAAATAACTAGGTAGAAAGCCTTCAAGATCAAATTGATCTCACACAGAAGGGTAACAGACCTTTTTGGAAGAAGAAAACCTTATTCAGAGAGAAATCTCTCTCCTCCCAATGTTTCCCACCAGAGAGAAATGTGAATCGGTCACTCCAGAGGGCCTAGAGATTCCCAGAAACCTAACTGCCCCCTATAGAGGTCCAACAATGCCTAAGCGCCCAAGATCAGATCAAAATTGAAGAGTCCAACATGACTAGGATTCTTCCCCACACTCCAGTTCTTCCTTATTTTGTTGCCAAAACATAGATCACCCTCCTGATGACTAGAAAACACCAAAAAATCCAAGAACTGGGCAATCGGCTGATCTAGGACTGCATGGAAGAACTCCAAGTCTCCAAGAAACTCTAGTTGAGCTCTGATACCAAGTAAAAATTTTCTGCCTTCATGATTTCATAAGATAAGTATTCTCACTGTCAGAGTAAGGTGTTATTCACTTTTTTGTGAATTACCATTATTTTATTTTTTGAACTTTTAGAAAAATTTTCTGCCTTGTTTTGAGGTGTCCACCTCACCTTGTGCCTTGCACCTTGGTCCAAAAAGCCTCTTTTCTTTTCTTGTGCCTTGTGCTTTTAAAACACTGCCCTCATCAAAGCAAACCTCAAGTCATAGATATAAAATGTTTGCACTGCTTATTGTACTGTTTATTGTTTAATGAACTTTTCTTGGCAAGCATGGATTTCTTGGATTATGCACAACTAATTTCAGATATTGTTGCTCTTTTTCTTTATCTTCTGCTCTCCTCTGTTTTGTTTTTCTTCTTTTTGGTAACCTTGGTTCTCTTGTACATTTTTTACTTTGTAAACCTGTCTTGACCTGCAACTAAAGTGAGCTTTCTTTCTCCTGTTTTGCATTGGCAGATGCTCAACTTTCCAAACAATATCTTGAATAATGAAGGAAGGATCCGAACAGTTCTTGATGTGGGTTGTGGGGTTGCAAGTTTTGGGGCATATCTTCTTTCATCTGATATCATAGCAATGTCTTTGGCACCAAATGATGTGCACCAAAACCAGATCCAATTTGCATTGGAGAGAGGAATTCCTGCATATCTTGGTGTTTTGGGGACGAAGAGGCTTCCTTATCCTAGCAGATCATTTGAATTTGCTCACTGCTCTCGCTGTAGGATTGATTGGCTCCAGAGGGATGGGATCCTTCTTCTTGAACTAGATAGGTTGCTTAGACCAGGGGGCTATTTTGCTTATTCGTCTCCTGAAGCATACGCACAAGATGAGGAGGACCTCAGAATATGGAGAGAAATGAGTGTCCTTGTGGAGAGAATGTGTTGGAAAATTGCTGCCAAGAGAAACCAGACAGTCATTTGGGTTAAACCTCTAACTAATGACTGCTACATGGAAAGAGAGCCTGGTACCCAACCTCCCCTCTGCAGATCTGGTGATGATCCAGATGCAGCGTGGAATGTGAAGATGGAAGCTTGCATAACACCTTACTCTGACCGTGAGAATACTTATCTTATGAAATCATGAATATCATAATCTCTTTGCTTCTAATGCATGGTGTTAAGCATGCAGTTGCATTCATATTCTTGTGTAGGAAAATTTAAACTTGTATTGTTACATTGTATGATTATAATTGTTAAGGTTGTTTGTAGAGCAGTAATAGCAAGTATTCTATTTCCACTATTTTCGTTTTCTTCAATGGAAAAAAAATTTATGGTTTACTTGGATTTCCTACCTAATCCCTATTGCTTATTTTAAAATATTATCTCCTTGCATGCTTTACATATGATTTATTTCTATGTAGTGCATTAATCGTTGTTCCATTGTTGCATACTTCATGCTGACAGCATCATTTTCTTTTGATAGCCTATCATCAAAAGCTCAGCACAAAGAAGAGATACCTGGGTTATTCATGACCTTACTTGATCATGAAGATGGTAATTATGTGCTCCAAAATAGCTCACTTCTAGAAATCTTTTCTCCCTTGGGGGCACCCTTCTAATCCCAGGACAAACCCCCAAACAAAACATCAAACTGTAGAACATACCAATGGCCAGAGAACCAAGACTTTTTAACTTTCTAACTTTCTAAACCCATAGCTTAAAGAAATTAAAAAAGAAAGAGGGGTGGGGTGGGGGGGGGAGCTATTTTCTTGCATCCTCATGCACATTGTGTTTTCTTTCAATACGAATACAGTTAACATTTAAACAAAAAAAGTACAAAACTCACCTACCAAAAAAAGCCCAAAGGCATATTATTTCCCCATTTTCTTTCTTTACTGTAACCAAAAAAATTATAACTTGTTTCAACACCTAAAACATATAAAGCTTTGACTTGGTGTTGGGTTTCAACACTGAAACTGTTCCAAATGTTATCTCAGAAATGTAGCAGAACATTCTATTAGTACGGGTTGTCCAATGCAAACATCTCGAATTTGAAATTCTTGTAGGTTTGGTTTTTAGGCCTTATGGTTTTGGTAAGGTCTGATATTGAAAAGTATTTCTATAAAAAGACAGGGAGAAAAGACAATTTAGAAGCTTGTGAATGATTTTCGAAGAAAACATCTTATTATGCAGAGAGGTGTTCTCTGGTGTCAAAAAAAGAGATTTGAAAACCCCTTCCATTGGAGATTTCTTGGAATGGGTCTAGGGAAGAAAAATGTTGGGCATGAGAACTTTCTTAACAAAACATGGATTTGAAGCATAGATTAACTTGTGGTAATGCCTCTAGCAATGCTGTGTGCCCCCAATCTAGCAGTGAATGGTGTAAAGTAGGGGGATTTGAGGGTTTTTATTTGAAGAGAAATGTGGGGGGGGGGGGTGGAGGGTTGACAGAAGACCCGCATGTAGATACTAATCATATTATATTAAGCTTAGGTATTACATGCTGTTGTATTGGTGAGGAACATAGTTAGGGCTTTTTACGAGACTGAGAATTGGGTTAGGGTCAATTAAGAGCTTGTGTTCAAGGGGAATTAGAGAGATTGTTGCCCTAAGGTTTCAGGATTGAATGCAATGATAATTGGAGGATAGGGAGTAGATTCATTGTAGGTGGAAGTGCGCCCTTTTTTTTCTTTTTGATCAGTTAAGTTGCTTTGTGATGGACTTGTGGAGGAATTTGGTCTTGTGGATTAGTGCAAATGATTCTAGCTGTAGTTTTGATTTTTGGAGTATGTATTTTGGGATTCTTTTGTATTGCTCCTCCTTTGGCCCTTTTGGCCTTGTTCAAGCTTTTTTTCTCATCTTAAATTAGTCCTCTTTATCAATGAAATAGAAAAAAAGAAGGAAAAAGAGATGAATTGGGCAGAATGAATTTTCACATTGCTTTTACTGCATACCAGGTGATTATAATAATGCTTTATTGATTATTATTGATTCATTGGACAGTCAGTAGGATATTTAAATATATGCTACTTTATAAATATTAGGGAAAATTCTCGATTAGTACCCTGTACTTTGGGCCTAGTGTCACTTTGGTCCCTGAACATTAAAATGCGATAATTCAGTACCCGAACTTTCAAAACATGACAATCCAGTACCTGCTGTTAATTAGCTGTTAACCAGTTGTTAAGTGGCATTTGAAAAAGACACAAATGCCCTTCGAGTGTCATCTAATTTTCTTTATCAACCATCCAAACATTGACATAAAATTAACAGTCTCAAATCCTTGCCTCTTCTATTAAAGAAAGTTGGGGTTACCAGAATGCCCATTCAAACGTAACCCCAACTTTTTTGAATGGAAAATGCAAAGATTTGGGACCGTAAATTTTTCCTCAATGTTTAGATGGTTGATAAGAAAATTAAATAACACTTGAAGGGCATTTGTCTTTTTCAAATGCCACTTAACAACTAGTTAGCGGCAGGKACTGGATTGTCACTTTTTAAAAGTTTGGGTACTGAATTGTCACATTTTAAAATTCGGTGACCAAAGTGGCACTGGGCCCAAAATACAGGGTACTAATCAGGATTTTTCCCTAAATATTATTGCTTAGGAGTCATTACAATAATCTCTTAAAATACGTATTCATTTCTAGTCCAATTATAAATGGGTTCCTTAACTGGATTGAATTCAAATTCAGATAAACAGATACCATTTGCAGCCTTAGATTGCTTTTCCTATCTAGGAGTTCACACAAAAATCGCAATGATCTAGTAACTTTCAACAAATTCATTTTTATTTAATGCATTTTCAGGATTTTTTTTTTCAAGACTTCAAATTCTATAGAAGTTTTCCCCATCTAAATTTCACGAAGGAAAACAACATGGTTGCAAATAATCTTTTTAAGTTGATTGTTGGCCATGTTGATATTTATTGTGGGACGTATTCTTTGTTATATATACATATATGAGATGTAGACAGTTCTTAGCCCTCCGAGTTGGTTGCTTTGTCTGGATTCTCATTTTTGTTTTTAGTGTTAGACTATTAACTCTGATATAATAAGTTGTTAAATACAATCCAATTGTACCTCTTTTAAAAAATAAGAAAATTGAGGGCCATAACTGTTGCAAAATTATAGCAATCCCATATCTTTATAGGGCAATGCAATTCCCTCTTTTGTAGTCCTAGATGATAAATATATGCATATTATCTGTTCATGTCATATTGCAGGCAACAGACATGTTTCCTCGTAACTCATTTTTAACATGTTTGACATTTCAATTACTTGTTTTTGTGTGCCATCCTGTGATGCTGCTCAGAGTATCGGTGGTAATACTAATTGAATTTTGTTGGTCTCCTCAGAACATCATAGAGCCAGGGGAAGTGGCTTATCTCCATGGCCAGCTCGATTAACTACTCCTCCCCCTCGGCTTGCTGATTTTGGCTACTCAAATGAAATGTTTGAAAAGGACACGGTAATCCATGTGAACATACTGTCAATCACACGTATTTTCATGAACAATTTTCTTATATCTGCCTTTGCAATGATGTATGCAGGGGAAAAAACCGTTCTTACCTGGTGTTTAATATTACTAATTTGATGCAGGAGTTATGGCAAGGGAGGGTAGAGAGTTACTGGAATCTTTTGAGCCCAAAGATTGATCCAAACACTCTCAGGAATGTGATGGACATGAAAGCAAACTTTGGCTCTTTTGCAGCTGCTCTGAATGATAAAAATGTTTGGGTGATGAATGTTGTGCCAGAAAATGGACCAAACACACTAAAGCTGATATATGACAGAGGCTTAATAGGCACTGTACATGACTGGTATGAATAGAGATATCATTAATAACTTTGTCACCTTAATGAAAAATTTAGAGGTCTGGTGTCAGAAAGTGCCCAGTTAAGGACAGGAATTCTAAATCGAGTTCATCCCTTTTGGATATGAATTCTAAATTTACTTTTAGTTGGTTCTTAACTTGCCTTTTATTCCAACACAAATATAGGAGCAATGATTCACAATGTCCTTGGACATGGTGGGATATCTTTGTGTAATTTTAATTTGGTTAAATATGAATAATTGAACCAAAATTGATGCTTATCAAAAGCATTTTTAAATAGTACTTGTTCTACCTTGACTGGTGGCATCTAGTGGCAGCCCTGCTGAGGTAGTGTGTTCCTTGGCTGCATTTCTGGCCTGTTTTTCCTCATTGTTAGCTTGTTTAGAGGTCTGAGGTCTCCTAGGTCTTACATTATTCCAGTACTAATGGCTTGTCAATGGTATCCTCTCTCTCTCTCTCACACACACACACTCTCATTATGATGTTTCCGTTACTGATAAGGGGGGAGAGGGAATGAGGCTTCCTTGAACAGAAAACTGAAATAGGACTTGAGAAAGGTTGTAAGAGTAAAGTTCTAGAATATGGAAACAAATGAATATCTGATTGTTCAATTGATGTCATTCTTTACAGGTGTGAAGCCTTCTCAACCTATCCACGCACTTACGATCTTCTCCATGCCTGGACTGTCTTCTCTGACCTCGAGAAGAAAGACTGCAGTGCTCAGGATTTGCTGATAGAAATGGACCGCATACTCAGGCCTACTGGATTTATTATTGTACGAGACAAGAAACCAGTTGTGGAATTAATTAAGAAATATTTACCAGCATTGCACTGGGAAGGAGTGGCAACGGCTGATGCATCAGGTTCGGAGCAGGATGAAGATGAGGTGGTGTTTGTTATCCAAAAGAAGACATGGCTAACAAGTGAGAGCCTCAGGGGTTCAGACTAATGAAGACGAGGCCTCTTGGTTCATAATGGTTTGATGCTATCCCCCATCCACTTCTCTGGTACACCTGATAACACGTTGTTTGCAGGGTCTCACCCAAGGAAGTAATGACCCAAATAGTATAATCGTCATCATTTTTTTTTTTAATTTTATCTTGTAATCTTTAGTAATATATTTTGATTTATTTATTTATGTCTAATTACGTGGTATGCAGTTAAGTACTGTTCTCTCTGTATTCTTCCATCAGTTTCAGTATGAATGTATGATCAAGTATTTTTTTAGGTCTCCATGAAAATTACTTCAGCTGGTTATGTGAATTGTGAACCAAAACATGATACACGACATGTTTTACTGGAATGATAAGAAAAAGAAATGCGTGATGTGTTTCAACGGGTTCCACAGTTGTCCTTCTTAATCTTATATTGTGATACTTTTGAATTGGTTCTTGTTCTTGTTGAATCTGTCAGGATGTGAAGCGTGATTCAAGTACAAGGGACCACCTACATTACGATACAAGGTGGAGGCTATGGCGCATGGGTGTTGAGAGCAAGGTATTAAAAAGCAAAAAGGTGAAGCGTGGAGGTGAACTAGTTCAGCGTTGGACAGGAAGGCAAGGAGTAAGGCTTAATGTATATGCAAGTACAAGCATGTGTACATTAGTCTGCATGTATACAAATACAATATGTAGATAATTTTTAATTTATATATAAAAACAATATATTATAATTTTTAAGTATCTTGGAACATAATTTATTTTTTCATAGCCAATTTATATATTTACTTTTTTTATCACATACGTATTTTTTAATATGAATCATTTTTTTTTCAAATTTTATTCGGCATTTTATTTTATATTTATAACCTTTTTACTTACACATATTCTAGCTTCTTTAAATAAACAATAATAATTTTTTTGAATGAATATACAACTTTATTGGAACTAAATGGCTTGAAAAAAAGTGAAAGTGGATAAAAAAGCGTGGCACTTCTATTTATTTTTTTATTTGAATTGATAATTTTGTTTTTGGTTTGTAGATGGGTGTGTTCCATCATCATTTGTCATGGATGAAATTGCTTTAAATAGGACTGGCGCCCATACTGTAGCACAACTGACATGTGCTGGTCTCTTTAGATGCTGAATTGGGTTTCAATTCAACTGCTAGAAAAATTACACGAGTAACATTCCAGGGATTGAACAATGCTGAATTGGGTCTCTGTCAAGATGATTTACAAAATCAATCAAGAGATTCAAGACATCATTCATCATTCTACAAACCTTGAAGGCTTGAACAATGACTGATGATTTACAATTTTACATAACATTCCAGGGTCTAGCTTACTCGCGTGTTAGAAATTGACTATAGGAACAGAAAAGCCCTGGGAAACATGACCGACATCAACTATCCTTCTTAACCACCCATTGGGAGCATGTTCTAGCTTACTCACTTGTGCAAGACGCTCTTCTTTGGAAGCTTTGGTTTCTTTTGAGTTTGGTTCTATCAAGAATAGTTAACAAGGCCATAATCAGAAACCATGTAAAAAAAGTCAACGAGTAATTCAAAAGAAGTTGAATCCCAATGATGAAATGTACTTTTTGCCTTTCCAGTGCTTCATAATCTATCCCATCCTTCCATTTTCTCTTACGTAGTTTGATTGGACGGTTCCCAACATATTTACCTGAAATGATTTGGTTGTCAAATTAGAAATGTAAGACCGCATGGCCAGCGAAAATGTTCTTTGTAAAATTTCAGAGGTCAACAAGCTCAACTTCAGAGGTGAAGCACTCAGCTTGATCCATCTATAGTTTTCACCATGGCAAATATACTCTTGTATGACTATATGCACAATATACTCACGATGAGCAAACACATTCAATAAAGCAAATGGCTATGAGCAGGAAACAGAAAGATGCTTACCATTCATTTCTTTCATTGCTGCTACAAGGTCAGAAGGGTTGGCAAAACTAACAAACCTGTAGCCCTTGGTCTTGCCAGTCCGTTTTATCTCTAACCACCTGGAAAAGTGAATTTACACATAGACGTGCGAATGTTTACATTATTAAGTTTGCATGCATATATATAGATAACACAAAGGCTACAATAAAACCGGAAAGACATCAATAGACAATATTAATAATTTAAAAATAATGCAATGCACCATAATATGAAAACTTCACAGAAGATGCAGTGGAAAGAGAGAAAAGAACCATACAACCGCAATTGCAGTATTGGAAAAGAGAAAGTAAAACTATTAAAACCGAGCATCTTCCCAATGAAACATTTTTTTATCACCAGATCAGTAAGCCAATAAAAGGCCAGCCACTTGATTCCATTTATCATTTGGAACTAGCACAATGCTCCTAAAGGGCAGGAATAATCTTGGATTATATATTTGGGATAATCTTGGATCAGATTTATATGCTAACAAAAAAATGACTTAATATTATATTCATGTTGCCAACCCATACAGTTGGGACAATGCTTAGATGATGATGGTATCGTTGACCAAATGAAAAGGCCATTTTTGGTCCAATGGTAAATTTTGGGCTGACAAAGCATGTGAACACGGTTTTATACCCTTTTTTTTATAAGACCCTTTTTGAGTATATAACATCCATGAGGTCTTAATCCATGACATTTTACTAAAAGATACAGTACTCAAACTAAGCTTGCCAAGGGGACTGATTTGGGTATACCCCATTTTTTTTTATAAAGGGGCGGTGGGTACACCTCTAATCATTAGTCAGAAGTGCATGCGTTTTAATAGACAAAAAATACCCCTAGGTTTAGACTACTATCATTACCAACACTATTTCCTTGTTTCTTTACTAGGAATATGACCTCTTATCAAAATAGCAAGTTCCCAATCACTTCCCATTTGCTTATGAATATATATTGTGGAATCAGATCAGGCAGATCCAGACTATGACCAATTGTAAGAATATCTAAGATTCTAAGCATGATGCAATCATGAAAACATGCAAACATTAAAAAAATACACACAGGAGCTATCACTAATATTAATGCCTGATAAATATGTCAAGTACTTAACTATCTACTTCCAGATACTCTTTTATGGTATAGTCAGTTAGGATTAGGCTGATCCCAAGGTTTACCATATAATCAGTTTCAGCTGTAGGTGGACTCGTCCAGGTGGTGTGGAATCCATATTTACAAGCTCCTTCAATCCTCAACAAAAGGAGAGAAAAGGTGATGCAGAGATGCACTAGGATGGCTATTTTATGATCGATTTGGGAGGAAAAAACAGATACAGTGCTCTTGGAAAATCATAAAGCAAAGAGGTTATTATACAAAAATCTTAGTAACAATGGTTCATTGACTCAAAACATTGGAGTTATTTGCTCCATTTAATACTAATGAAATCTTTAGAGGCTGGTCTAATGTAGCAAACTCATGTACTTTAACTCTTCAAGGATTGAAATAGAAAAGATTGTTGAATGTTAGATATATGGAAATAGAAGGAGTAAACAGGGAATGATAACTTAGGGAAATGATAGCACTTTGAATAGGAAAAGCAAAGGAACAACTATGCTCGGGTGTGGTGGGAAATGGGCAAGGGTACCCACATCCTTTTAGACAAGAGAGGGTAAAGAAGTTAATCTAAGAAACACAATTTTAATTAACTGCTTGGAATTTGGGAAGATTAAGTGATTAACAATAGAGTATAGAATTGGTAGACACAATGAAGAGGAGAATGATTAATTTTGCATGTTTACAAGAAACTAAACGTAAGAGAAAAAAGATAAAGAAATTGATGGCTACAAATCATGGTATATGGGAGAGGTAAATAATAAAAATGGAGGAGCGATAATAATAGATAAGGATCTAAAAAAATGAAATTGTAGATGTTAAAGAATTTGAGATAGAATAATTTTGATTAGACTTGTTTTAGGTGAGGAAACCATTAAAATAATTAATGTTTGTGCATGTCAAGTACGCTTAGAAGAAAGTATTAAAAGACAATGTTAGGAAAACTTAGAAGGATTGATCTAAGAAATTTCAAATGAAGAAAAGATCTTTATAAGAGGAGACCTTAATGAGCATGTAGGGGAAAGAAGTGCAAGATATGCTGTGATGTACGGAGAATTTGGGTTTGGTTGGGGAAAGGAATGAAACGGAAGATGCACTTTTAGAATTTGCAATAGCTTATAATGTGGCAATAGCAAACACATTTCAAAAAGAAGAATGAGTGCATATAATGTGCCAATTGTTCCCTGTTTTTCTTCTTTAATTTTTTTTTTTCACATTTCAAAAGTGAAGGAGGGAATAACTCATTCACTACACTATTTGGATCTGATTTGTCTAATCAACTAAGAGCATATCCCAAATTTCATATCCATTCAAAAGCAGCCACCAAAATACTTACATAATAGATTGCAAGTAGTCATCTTGTTTCTTCAACATACTTTCATGTTTCACATCTCCTAGACAACAAACACAGTCAAATATCTAACTGATGTATAGAGAGGCCTTGCTTAAGTACATAAAAAATATGAGTTCAGTAAACTTTAAACAAGAATCTGTAATGACATTCTATTGATTGCAGGCTTCTACAAAACATAGTTGCTATGTATGCAAGAATTATGGGACTAAAGTTCACAGATTCTTACTCTTGCCATATTAAAAGAAGGAAATCTTGAAAATGTTTTTGAAAGAACCTCATCATTCACTTCGTTACCAAGATCCCCACAAAATAAGCGGAAATCATCTGCAAAACATTGTTCCAGTATCAGAGAGCCTTAGCAATGCATCTAGACATGAAATATTGGGAAAAATAGAAACACCTACCTCATGAAGGGAAATGGTCTAGGAATCCTACAGAATCATATTCAGTGAAATGGTATTTACACAACAGAACAATGTAAAAGTCAAACATCAAATATTAATTAATAACATTGAGCCTGAAATTATGCTAAAATTAACAAGACATTTGATACTAACTTGTAATTGTGAAATTAGAAGTTAGGCATACCCTATAGAATGATTCTTGCCTGTGAATTATTGATGACACACCTTTTAAAATATTGATTTATTCATTACAGATTACTTAGATTAGTTTTATATGTAATCTCTTTAATAAGGCAAAGGTTAGAGTGTTTATTTTTTCCTTGATGCTTTTAAGGTTTGGTTTCGTGCCTATGTTACATTTTAGAAAGAATGGGTTGAGATCTTTACAATCTCTTAAAGTTTACTCCTCTAGAATCCCATAAATAAAATTTAACATTTTTTTCTTCTCAGAACTAAAGACAGAGTTTTGTTTCTTTAGAGAAAGATGAAGTGATTTCTCACAACTAGAAGGAATCCCAAAACAGATTATTGAAATGTTAATCAGTTCAAGCTGCAAACGGGGCTATTGCTTGATGCAATGGTAAAACCTCAGGTTTAAAAACATAAAAAAAAAACATTCTCAGAGAGGCTGCTTCATATAACACCAGAGTTTAGGTCTGTGTTTACTACCCCTCCCAAGATCCCAGATAGATGGGAGTCTGGGACCAGCTTAAATTGTTCTCATAGCAAAAGATGTCAATCAAGTGGCAGCAACTACAGCATGACCACATAAAACAACTTTTTGGATCAGTAACATTGAACTTCAGACTGGGATGAGCCAGCCAATCAATAAGCTAGTATATTTTATGCTTACTTTCCCAAAGCACATGACCTAACATCAACTGGAGTTGCAATCTGAATCAGAAGGCTACATCAAATTATTTGTGTGAATTAGAAATTTTATAAAAACACGTACACACAGATCTTATTCTCGGTAGACATGCACAATGAAAAATGACTAATGAAAAACGTAAATGGATCATACTCTCTGGCCAGTCTGCAAGTGTTGGATCCTCCCATGTTTGCCCAGCTGCTTTATAAGGTATTGCTTTCTTCTTTATTTCTGCTTTATGCTCAGTTTCACTGCTTGCAAGGGCAGCTTTCATGCTCTCGAGAGCCTTGGGTGTAATTGTCTGTGCATCCCTCTGGAATAACTGCTGTGCCTGAATAGATTAAAACAGAAAACATTAACAAACCTGAAAGATGACGCAAAATATCTCAATCTTTTAGGATTAAGTAATATGAATATAGCAAGTTACATAAACAACTGAAGTATGAAAAGATAAAAGTACAAAATTCTTAATACTCCATACTTAAAAGCAATGTGAGCATAATACAACCTTATACAGGCCAGCATTTGAAGAACTCTTTAATCCTTTATACTTGGAAATGTTTTGTTAAGGTCTTAAACGTTAAACAATTTGTTTGCTGCATTCTAACAATCTTAAGCTTTTGGCTTATTGGTCAAGCATATAACAGTTGGTATCAAAGCCTACTCCACGTCACAGGTTTGAATCACAGGAAGAAGGGTTACCTAAAGCAGGGTAAGAGTCAGCAAGGGAAAGGATTATCTGTCGCCAAGTGTGAGAGCTGCCCAAAGTGAAAGTCACAAGCGTAGTGGCTTGTTACGGTCCTAAAGGTTAGATATCTTTCATGACACGTTCCAACAGCCTTAAAATGCTTCTGCCGTATTGGTCAAGCACGTAACAAATTGGGATATAAATAGAAACATGAACAAACCGGCGATCCCAAAAAATTCTGAAAATTTTCAACATGGACATATGTGGAAAAGAAACAACACTAGCTTATAGGGCGTAATTCTTATTCAATATATGAGTAGAATCATGTTTTTTATTTTATTTAATTATGATCGATACATAAAGGAGGAACATCACACACCAATACACAGAATATACATAATCAATAAAACGTCCTATTTGAGAAACGAAAAGATTAAACTATTTTATTTTATTTTGATAATAAAGGATCAGTTTTTTTTTTTTTTTTTATGGCAGAATATACAATTGATCGAAGATACCTTGAATACTGCGAAAGAGAACAGAGTACAAGAAAGAACAATGAGAAAACAATGGAAAACCAAACAAATAACTCGCCTGCTGATACTGCGGAAGCGAATATACGCCGGCAACAGGCGCTGCAGCGGGATACACCGGAGGGATAACCGAAGCAGTAGGAATTTTCACCGGCGGAGCAGGAGGCACGTAGGGTTTGGTGTATTGCTGAGCCGCCGTTGGATCCTGTTGTTGAAGATGGAAAGGCACAGGGAAATAAGGACCGTTTGTATACGAGTACGGCGCTGAAGCAGAAGGAATAGTACTCGAAATTAAGGCTGATCCCGTAGCCATGACTGCAAATTTCTTAAACAAAATCAAACTTCTAAACGAAAAATCTAGGGTTTCTAAAGGCAGAGATGAAAGCTTTGGCTTTTCGCAGAGAGAATTGTAGGTTTAGGACTTTGAGCAATGGAATGGGAACGTTTCACGCAGACGGAGAGCTTCTTTTCCTGAGTCCTGACGTTCTTGAATGTTCTTTTTCCTTGTATGGGCGTAAAACGAAAATTCCAGAAATTTCTATTTTGTTTTCTATGAAGACTGCTAACGTGCGCCGATGGTTCAGGACTTGACTGCATGGCACCCGCGCTTAATACTTTATTTTTACCATTAGATTGGAATCCACTGGATACCAATTATACTGATGCTAATTTGACGGTCAGGAACAATACTGCACCTCTGCAATCACTACTTCCACTAAGCTCGCTTCCTTGCAGGATTTAGGATTCTGTCGAAGGCTCGAAGCTCGCTTCTCTTATGAGAGATGGAACCGTGAATCGAGAGAATGGAGAAGAGTTCAACATCAATGAGGAAAGAAAGGCCTACTGGAGGAAGAAGATGTCGAAGCTGAAAACGATGAAACTGATGAAACGCTATCATTCGGTGAAGTCAGTCTGTTTTTAATCTTTTAATTTTGTTTAATTTGTTTTTTTGGGGAATCTGAGCATTCTGTTCTTAAGTTGCGTAGAATGGAATTTTCGATTCAAGAGTGAACATTATAATTAGTGTGGGTGGATTTTTCATGCATTTCGTCAGTTTGGTACTTCAGTTTCTTGTGGATAACATATGTTGAATTCCAGAGCATAGCTTCAATTTGGCTCCGTGCTTGATACATGTAGAGAGACTAAGGCTTTTGAGTTTTTATATTTATAATATGAATTGGTAAGACCAATCATCTGAGGCAAGCACTAAGAAGGCATTATCGTATCAGCCTATTTCACATGCAGAAAGGCCTTCACACTCCCACTCAAGCTGAGCATATACGATTGAGTTCATCTCTGTGATTACATTGAATTGGGGTGGAGGATAATATCATTCTTTTCTCATAAAATCTGTCAGTCTCCATGTACCCCAGCTTATTGACAGAAACTGATTCCCTGATCCATGCCTCTATTTAGTTACATAGTTTTTTTAGATGAATATATTTAGTTACATAGTTGGGATATAGAACAATGGCACATGAAATCTATCAGAACCCTCATGGATCTTTCAGTCTTTAGTTGTTGTTGTTGTTGTTATTATTATTATTTATATCGTCCTTTTCATATCTCTATATTTTCTCTAAAAATTTCTCCGGCGCCACATAACATGGAACTATTTCATTTTACTATTGTACAGCATTTGAACCCAAATGGTAGTTGCTGGAAATGGAACTGTTTCAGGTTGTCAGGAAAAATGGAAATGGTTTCCCAACAATGAGTCTCTTAGAGCTAAATCCCACATATGAATCTATCAGGGTTTAGATATTGGGGGGTACAAACTTCCCATCAGTACAAGAAGTATATGCTCTAGTACAGTCAGAAGAGAGCTGACAGAATGCGATGAATAATCCTGAGGGAGAGCATGTTGCTTTAGCAGCTAAAGGGAGTGTTGCTACGGGTGGTGGAAATTCCTTCAAGAAGAGTGACTTCTAGAAGCAAGTTGATGACAAAGATAAATTATGGTGTACACACTATCAGAAGCCAGTACAACAAGGTTAGAGGTCTGTACTCGGGAGACATGTTGGGAGCTTCATGGGAAGCCAAAGTGGGCTCAAGAAATGAGTAAAAAGCCGGATCAAAAGAAGAAGCCAGTACAACAAGGTTAGAGGAAGTTTAATGCAGCAAATTTAGCCTTTCAAGAGCCTCAATCATCTATCACTACTATGAGTCCTTTCGGGACTGATCTGAGGGAAGATATCATTAATTCTTTCCGTGACTATTTGGAGTTGTATGGGAGGGCAATCTGCCAGATGGATTCTGCTTCTCCACCCTCGACTTCCTTTGCATCTACATCAAGTAACGGTAATTCTGCCATAGCTTTCCATGTGTCCTCTCATCCCTCAGACTCCCCTTGGATAATAGACTTTGGAGCATCAAACCATATGACGGGTAAGTCCAATTGTTTTCAATCTTATCATCAATTATCTGGTCGGGACAAGGTGAGACTTGCTGATGGTTCTTTCTCCACCATAGCTAATCAAGGAAGAGGAGTGATGAAGTTGTTATCCTGGAATGTAAGGGGATTGAGAGATGGGAAGAGGAGAGAGATGGTTAGGATTCTCTTAAGGAAACATAGTCCTGATGTAGTTTTGATATAGGAAACTAAGTTGCAGCATTTGATTTAAGGATGACGAACGAGATTTGGGGGTCAAACAGAGGAGAGTGGGCCGAACTGGATGCAATGGGTCTGTCAGGGGGTATGGTGGTATTTGTGGGATTCGAGTAGCTTGAGGAAAGTTGGGGAAGAAAAGGGGAGATTTTCTATCTCAATATGCTTTCAAACAGTGGAGGGGGGTGGCAGTGGGGGTTGTCATGTGCATATGGGCCAAATACAAAAGGGGAGAGAGGGGAGATGTGGGAGGAGTTGGAAGAGGCAAGGAGAGGGTGGGGGGGACTTTAATGCAATAAGAAGGCTAGGGGAGGGGAAGGGGGGAAGGGATCGAAGTGAGAACGTGACAATGAGAAGGTTTAGTAACACCATCCGAAGAAATGGCCTAATAGACCCCCCATTAAATAGTTGCAGATTTACTTGGAGGAATGGGCAGGACCCACCAATTCTTAGAAGACTTGACAGGTTTTTGTACTCTGGAGATTGGGAGGAACATGTAGGAAATATGATTCAAGAAGCATTGCCATTTCTAATGTCGGTCCATAAACCAGTTATGTTGAGACAACTTGTAGCAATCGGTGGTCCAAGACCTTTTAAATTAGAGAACATGTGGTTAGTGTTTGTTGGAAAGCAACAGCCGAAGAAGAAGAAGAAGAAGAAGAAGAAGAAGAAGAGGAGAAGATTTGAGAATGGCGGCTTACCCACTTCAACCGGCCCTACAATCTTATATAGATGTTTACAAAGTAATGTTACATGAATGGCCTAGAATGCCCCTGATTAGTGATGGGACACCTAGACAAATAAAAAATCAAACAAGTTTAGGCCCAATAACTAAGAACTTAAGACACAAATATGACTAACATAGACACTAAACCAGCCGAACCAACACTCCCCCTCAAGCTAAGCATGGATGTCAGTCATGTTTAGCTTGCCAAGTAAGTCTAAGAATTTCGTTGAAGCTAGTCCTTTTGTTAGCA